TGATTTAATTATCCACACAATCCAAATACCCATACTGATACTGAATTACTTAGTTCTGTTAACTGGAATTACCTTCCATTCAAAGCCTTTTATTTCAAGACATTTAATTCCAGCAGACATTCTGCAGAAAATTAAGGTCTTTCTAAATCAGAGATTTGTCACTGTAGTTTCTATCTGCTGTGGGCTCTCCTGCACAGCACCCTTAAGCTGCTTGTCTCCCATGCCAAACCTGATTGGAAATAAAGACTGCTTAAGAAATTCTGTTCAGAATTCACCATATTCACCTACCCCCCAGTGATCTGACAGGCCCGCATCCTTTTAACCTTCTGAAAAGCCATCAAGACCTAGCTTTTTACCCAGGCACAAGGGTAGAGTGAGGGTGTCTGAGGTTGGTTGTTGGGGCATCCCAGGAGAATGGCTGCAGTGACTGGTTTTTGTTTTATGCTTTTTATGGTTCTGTGGCTTTATTGTTGCTGTGAGCCGCTCACAGTTGTGCTTTAAGATGGGTAGCCACACAAATCTTTTAAATAAACAAACAAACAAACAAACAAACATTCACCAACTGATCAATGCCAGTCATATGGTCTTTGTGCATAGCAGTTATCAGGGCCTCAATTACTACACTCCCCTGCTTCTTTACCGTTCCCAAATGCTTTCCTTTTCATGGACTGGTCTCTGAGGATACATGGCTTCCATTTCCATAAGGCACCCTCTCTTGAACCCTCCTCATACTTGACACCTTCCTTCTGGCTCATTCACTGGTGGACAAGTTAAAAAACAACCCCAAACCCCCACCAGTTTTACTTTCCTTCTTCTCTCTAAGGCTAGAAAGGGAAACTAGTAGAACTCTGTCAATTTCATACAAAGGAAAGGTTAAAAAAGGAAAGATCCACAAAGAAATTTTTAAAAAGTCCAGTATTTCACTAGTCCACTGAACCTAAAAAAAACAAAACAAAACAAAAAAACCCCAAAAAGAGTGCAGAGTTTTACTGGTCTGTTACGGGAAAGTCCCTTCATAAGGAGGCGAGCAGCCTAACACAACACATCCAGGGAGGGTAGCAACCAGTGACAAGAAGCGGGGGGGTATTCTTGTCAAAGCATATAGTAGCCAATTGGAGTGAAGGCATTTGGTTACAATGAAATTAAGTACACCACCAGAGTACATAGCATGACTTGTGCTATCAGAAGTTGAAAACACTACTTTGGAAGCAAAGCAAGAAAAGATGGGCAAAGGTTCCTTTGCAATGGGCTGGAATGGGTTGAGAATAATGTCATGTGTTCCTGTCTTTGAGAAACTGTTAGCAGGTCACAGTTGGGGCAAGGCAAGCAGATGAGCCTTAAAGTCTGCATGACACAATGTCTGGATCCAGGCCTTCTTTTGAACACTTTGAAAGTATTATTATTTCTACTGTTTAGGAAAAATCACCAGAGCCAGCTAAGAAATGATGGCAGCAATTAAAGCAGACTACGGAGCAGAGAAGTCTCCCCCCACATATACTTCTGGATAGATTAAAGAGATGAGAATAATCTATACAACACATACTTTTTCCTAAAAAATGTGTAGCAGATTTGACATACAACTCCCACTATACAATTTTCTCCAGAAAGTTCAATTAGATAGATTAATGAAAAAGAAAAGAAGAGACATTTGGATTGCTATTCTAAAAACACTGTGCTTAATGGAGCATTTTAAAGTGAAGAGCGACTCTTAAGTTACTTTCAATGACACCATGACTCAACTCAAATGCTGATGTTGTTACTATTTCCTTGATTACCTTACGCAGGCTAAGTTAATGTCTTGCACTCCACTGTAAATGTTCTAGCCTCACACAGCTAGAAGGGAAGCTGCCTTGCACCAATAAGACCAGTGAAGTTGTATTCTGAAAAATTCAGAACTTTCAATAAAAGCACAAGAAAAAGATTGAGGATCTTAAGACTTACCTCTTGCATGTATTTTCCCAGCTCAAATTTCCTTTAGGCTGAATAGCCTTTTTTAGCTATCCAAAGATCTCCCAAGGAAAATAATTACTTATTACAACCTCAATTATCTTTCTCTCCCTCCCTTTCCTTTAGCACATATGCAAATATGCATGTACCTACATGCCAGAGAAAATTATCTATTACTTTTCCCCAAACACCTTTTCATATTTCATACATTCATTCTCATCTACTGCAAGCTGATTTATAAATTGATTTATGTTGCATACGTCTACATAGCCAAATCTACTTTAGTTACGTTGGCTTGACACCTGATCTCCTGAGAAATTGGAGGATGGACTCATTAAGGAATGGGTAGATAGTTCTATTCCTTCAATATTTCATGGCTGGAATCACTTGATTCATGGATGCCACTATCTAAGAAAAGATGGGTCTCTTTTGTTCAAAAAGGCAAAAATTCCAAAATAATCCTCCTACATCTTCACCTATCTCAATGTTTAAGTGGGAAATGTAAGAAGATATCCTTGCATTTATACCACAAATCTTTAATTTGACAGAAGAGGAAAATAATTGCATTCATAGGAAGTAATTTAAATATAGATAATATTATTTATATTTAAATTTCAACCAATGTTGTCCCAGCCCAATTTTTAAATCTTTGTTGCATGTTAGTTTTGCAAATATAATCTTTGGGACACACAAGGAGCAATCATAATTTTAGCTCTCCCGAAATTGTGAGGTCCCATTTTGCATGAACCCAGCCATGTGTTATAACCAGAAAAAAGAAGCATGGGAAAACCTTTGCATTCTTCCTTGTATCTGTTTATAACTTTAGAAATGGAAGAAGCATTTTGTTACCTCAGGGATAAAACAGGAAAGGAAAAAAAATGATGCTAGTCCAGTCATTCCCCTTTGTCCCACCCAAGGAGAGACAAGAATAACGATGCAACATATTCCAGATTGTTATAGTCTATGAGAGCTGAACAGGGAAAGACTCTACAAACCAAGCCTAATGCAGCTGTTCACTATGAAGCTCCTACCAAATTTAACAGGAATTAATACCGAAAATCTAACAACTGTTAGATACTATTTATGCCCCTTCTTCTCAAGCACTTATATTTCAAAGCAGCTGTTTCAGGGAAGTTAGAGGTAAATGGCGCCCTCTCTTGTCTAGTGAGACACGAGTAAAATAAAACTCTTCTTCCATTACAGCTACATAAAGGCTGGATTCCACTCAACAGGCTTAAACAGGTCACTGATGGGGGGCAGCACATTGTGCAAGCATACCAAACTAGTCAGTCTTGGGCAGAAAAAGCTTCTTGTTAACCCCAAACTACCTGGGGACAAATCAGTTGTTCATTAAATTATTCCTTCTAGTCAACTGTGGTCTAAAACATATACAACTAGTCACTGGATGGGGCGCAGAAAGCTGGAGTTGCAGAGCAGCGGAAACATTACCTGCTTCTTTATAGAATCTACAACTAAGGCATGGGAGTATCTGCAAATGCCTCCCGCATTGCAGTGGTCAAACTGTGCCCACTACTGCTCCCTACCTGGCCAATGCAGATAAAGGACCACTAACGTTGAGAGAGATGCAACATCGAACATGGAAGATGGATCTACAAATGTGGTTACCTGGTATCATGTGGGGATCTGATGCCCCAGGATAGCCAGCACATATAAGAAACTCATCCCTTTCCAGAAATATTCAGGAGGAGGGCCATGAGTGATTGGAAATTTTAACTGCCCTTAATAATCATGCACTTAGATGTGGATTCCAGAATGAAATGACTAAAATATGAATCAAGACTGGCTTCTTATCAAGTGGAATCAGAATATACACATATTTTTTAAATGTAGTACTCATGGCACATTGATGGGCTAAGGATGGAAAACAAAGAATGGGAAGAAAAAAATCTCAGGATTGATCAACAGGGGATGTCAAAGAAAAAGAAACCAAGAAAATGTGGCTTTATATTACTTACCTATGGTTTACCACTATAAGAACAAATCTACCTTTTTTTTTGAGCTACAGCTATGTGGCAAAACAGGAGTTACCTTTAGTTGCTTTGCACAATCCTGTTATAATTTTTATAAACTTTAAACCAGCCAAGTTCAAAGTAACTACAGGTGAAAGTTTCTAAATTCCTTTTCCCTTAGCTAAGTAGCAAAAGGAGGAAAAACCTACTCACAGACCACATAATCATGGATTAGCATTCTGTCTGAAACATGGTCATTATGTAAGTGGCAATCTTCTTGTAAAACAATTGTTGCTGTTTGTTAGCAAGGCTAGCAATGGAGTCTACTTGCCTTCTATTCCTGCATCAACTGAGACAAACAGAGCAGCACAGCATTTTTTAATTTTATTAATTATATGCCTAGAGAATAATTCCCATAAACAGAATCCCTATTCATTTGAAAACCAATTTCATTTTTTCACAATACAGTGACTGGCTTTCATAATAAGCATTCAATTTGATGACAATTAAAATTAGCTTGTTCTCATAAAATCTTATTATTTTTAAATATGTCTCATATTTATTGACCCACATTCACATTAGTTAGTTGCATATGCAGCCGGGCCACGTCTTACTTCTAAGGCGCGACCCTTACCCCTTAGGAGAGACAGCTGCCTCTGATCAAGGCGAACAGACAGTATACATTCATATACCGAACAGCAATTATGAGTTCCTCTTAATGACAAATAATGATTGCTATAAAGCTCAGGCATATAAATACTTCTATCAGATGTTATCAATAAATAATAAACTATATAATTAATTTCAGGTTAAGTGCATACATAAGTCTTCCCAGATTCTTATCTATTTATCTATAATATAGGAAGGAAGGAAGGAAGGAAGGAAGGAAGGAAGGAAGGAAGGAAGGACAGACATAGCTTGCAGCACATACTGCACTGAGGTTAAGGGCTTTGGGTTTTTGTTTTGTTTTTTAAGAAAAACAAGAGTTGGGGGATTTTAATAAGAAACGCTGTGTTGTATGGAAGTGCTTCAGGGTACACAATCCGATGTCTACTATGCAGAGAACATCCCCACATTACTTACTGTTCTTCCATGGTAGAATGTAAGGCAAGGTTCTAGGAGCTCGCAGACCTAAAGCTAGGTGGCTCCTATGTCCCATTATTGCGTTGGATCTTGGGCTAGGGAAAAGAAAAAAGGAAACATTTGTGCTCTTGCTTTTCTTATTTCATATTTATTTTTACAGGAGGGAGAAGCATCTTTAATATACAGGTAGCCCTCATTTAACCACCATTTGTTCAGTGGCTGTTTGAAGTTATGGCGGTGCTTGAATGAATGGCAGTTATACTCAGTCCCTGAAGTTATAGCCATTGCAGTGCCTCTGTGGTTACGTGATCAAAATTCAGGCGCTTGGCAACCCACCCACACTTACAACTGCAGGGGTGCTTCAATTCCCCCACCCACTTATCTCCCCTTTTGGCCGCCCTATACTCCCCTGCCTCTGCCGCCCTGGGCTTCACTCGCCCTGCTGGCTCTGCTGCCCCCAAATGACCTTTGCTGTCGTCTTCTTCCTGCTGCTGGTGAGGCACACCCGGCGTGGCCCTTCAAAGGCGGCTGTTGGCCGCGCCAGGCCTTCCTGAGACCGCATACAGCCTTCTCCAAATTGTGTGCAGCTTTCTCACAAGGCTTTGGAAGGCGTCAAAGCCTCATGAGAAGGCCACACAGAATTTGGGCAAGGCGCAATCGCGTGCAGCCTTCTCATGAAGCTTTGAAGCCTTCCATAGGGCGAGCTGTATGGAGTTTCTGCAGAAAGTCTGAGGTCTCAGGAATGAGAAAAAGAGTGGTAGAAGTACAGGTAGTAGCCATAAGAAACCCGAAAAGGTGACATGCAAGTAGAAGTATGAACTGAATTGTTATATGTAAATTTACACTGAGGCAGAAGGTCACACAAATTCTGTTGCTAGTATTTTTTTCCAAATAATTTTATTTAGAATTATAAATAGAAAGAATAAAAGCCAATACAGAATATATAAAAAAAGAAGTAACTTCCCTCTTCATCCTAGCAAGTAAAGACAATTTTAATAGCCTGTCACCATCTCTAAATACAACATCTCTCTTCTCCCCATAACTCATCTGTTAAGTAAAAAAACAAAATCCAAATGCTTTGTCAATCATTCTTTGTCAGCAAAACTCCAGTAAAGGCAACCAGATGTAACTATTTTCCTCTTTTATCCCTGATCGAACAAACCAGCCTTGTATTCCTTCCTAGAGTTTTTAAAAGTATTCTTTAGCCCCTTCAAAGAGAGTCCCAGAGGTAGTTTGCTGGTCATCTGTGTTTCAAGGCAAATATCTTTCAGAACTTCAACAAGTTTCTTTTGTATATCCAATAAGTAGAGTTTTTCCTTGTGTTTGTCACTTGTAATGAAGTCTTTCAAAGCCATAACCAAGTTCTTTTGTATATCCAGTAAGAAAAAATTATCCAAATCAATTTCCTGGTTTAATATCTTCAGCTAACAAACCAACTAGCTCAATTGCCAAAGCCTTGGCACAATGACAGGTGTGGCAAGAAAACAGGCTGTAACTTACTGCAACATGAGACTACCAAAAATATTGAAGTGAAATGCAGGCAGTTTTAAAAACTGAACTGAACTCTGGGTCTGCTTGAACTGAGGATGGGGAACATTTTCATCAGTCCCTTGCCATGATCAGTTTCTGGTTTCCATGGAGGTAGCTGATGCATGGATTTCAGCAGAGGGGAAGGACCTATTCAACTAGTTTGCCCCAGATTACTAATGGATCCTTTTGGCTTCCCAAGCGCATTTGGGGAGTTTCTTGCCCTGACAAGTAGTTATGCTGAGTGGCTAGTCAACCTTTGAAATAAAAGGTTGGCAATGCCATTTGACAGGATTGCTCCTGAGTGACTTCTCCTTTGCTGCTGATCCATGGGAGCAACCTGGTTTACTGAGAAGCTCTGGAAGATGAAGTGACAGAAGAGATGCATACAATAACACTGGCATAAAAAACAAATGTGACCAAATATAGGTAAGAACTCAACATTGACCTATATCATGGTGGTAAAAGTAGCAAAGTGAGCTTACTTCTTTGCTCTTACTGATACAGAATAGCCACCTAACAGCATTGTTTAAAGTGACTTGGTACCCATAATAGAAAACTGAACCAGAAAGTCTGCTGGGCTGTTGCAATGAATTTGCTAAGCCTCTGGAAGATAAGATTGCTTGCATTCACTAGGAGTTAGACACAGTTGGGCAAACTGACTTGAGATTACAGAGGCTTCATCTTTGGAGTTCTCTGGAATCAGTTTGAACCTCTAGATCCTGAGGAAGTAGCCAGGATCCTCTGTGCAATGAATTTTGCCACCTGTGGATTAGATCCTTCCTCTACCTGGATGGTAAAAATGACTAGGGAGGTGACAGGCAGCTAGTTGTGGGCAGATGTTAATAAGAATTTTATTATAGCCTCCCACTCCAGAAAACTCTAGGTGGCTTACAATATCCACAATTAAAATGTTAAAAGCATGAAACAGAATGTGGCAGCAATGAGACTAGGCTGAAGCTGCCATAACCTAAAGATGAAGCAGGCATGTAAGCAGAGAGGACA